TATTTTTTATACACTGAATTATTATTGAGAAACTTTTTAGTTTTCCTAAACTTCAATTATTTCAAAAAACTAATTATTATTGTATGTTGACCTACAAGCAACTAGTGCTAATTGAATGAGGAAGTGATGAAGAACTTGATGACACTGAAGAAGAAGAAAAAGAAGATGCTGAAAATGCTGAAGTGAGAACAAGAAGATGCTGAGAGAAAGAAGAACAAGAAGTACAAGAACAAGATGCTGAAAATACTGAAGAAAAGATTCTGAAGAAGACGAGAAGAAGAAGAAGATGGTCAATATGCTGAAGAGTGCCACCAAGAACAAAAGCCAGCAATGAAGACTTTAATGACTTCTGCAACATTATACTCAATGATGTACCTAAGGACAAGAACAATTTCATTCAACAAACACTTGGAGAAACTTCAACTGAGAACAACAATTTGCAACTAGACAACACAATGAAGACCATCTACTAAATAAATAAACTTGAAGAGGATAACAGGCTACTCACAGCACAAATAGAACAATTAAAGTGAAAATTCTCGATTGCATAAACCAATTGGTTGAAAAAGAGGTCCATGAGATAAACCTAAGAGTTTGTGCAGTGAAACATTTGTGGACAGATGCAAAGAATGAAGGTCATACAATAAACGATGAAAATTCTCAGTACTTGCAGAAAGAGGTCCATGAAAATTCTGAAGTGGTGGACAAAGAGCTCCATCAGAAAGAGTCCATGAGATAACGCAACAACCTTTTGTAAACAAACATGTGAGACAAATACAAATGTGAAAGATTGCCAAAATTCTTAGTTGCAGAATTAGTTACTGGAGGAAGAAGTCTATGACTTAACCTAACAAGTTGTGCAATAAAAACCGATGATCTGACAGAATCAAGACAAACAAATCTATAGAATTCCATGATTAAAAATATCAAAGCTAAAGCAAGGAGGACTACTGAGGTGTCAGATTATGAGAATAGAGGCAAGAAAGTTTAAGTTGAGAAAGAGAAGGAACACAAAGATGAGCAATTTCAAACAAGTATGCTGTGGCTCAATTGCTACCTCCTGAAGATAAATATTAAACTACAAATTCTTTAGAAAGAAAAGCAAATAGAATCAAGGTATAATCTTTATAAATCTTTCAATTTTCATGTAGTACAAATATATGAAAGGAAACTAAGAAATAGCTCTGTTTTCTAAAAATATTTCTGACTTAATTATTAACACATTTTTTTATTGTTTTATTAGTGCTTGTATATGGTTTGGCGCAAGATATGAAAATTGTTGTGTTTATTAATGATATCAAGAACTTGGTAAAAGGGATAGACATATCCAGCTGTGTACGTATAATATTTGTAATATTTTTAACACTGAAAAAACTTCTCATTAATTTGTTAACATCACTTTTTGTTGTTTCAATTTGATAGATAATTGATGCATATGCTGAGATTCTCAAGAGAACCACAAGCACAAAATTCTGGTGATGGAGCAGAGCACAATGCAAGTCCTTGTATACTGTTCAAGTCTATATTGGGTAAGGAATCAATGTGCATGTGTCAATTCTATACTTTTATCTTCCGTTCAATTTTGGTTTCAAAATAGATTTTTTGTGTTTGTTATCATTCTTTGTGAATGTTCTCAAATTTTTTGATTTTTGGTATCATTGCTAAGAATATACTCAGATTTCAAAACAATTTGAGTGACAAATCGTAGTAATCATGTTTTGTTACTTTTCATCGACATATAAATATTGAGTTCGTACCATTACTGTGAATATTTCACATATTTTTGTAAAAAAAAGCCAATGTTGAAGACGAAAACTCAGAACCAAAGGAAAAAGATTCTGAAAAATACTTTGCAAGAATCCTCTCCATGTCGATACATCCATGTCCTCATCCACAATTCCAATCATTGGCATTACTTGTTATTGACAAACACTTGGGGACTTTGGAACAACTTTTAACTCTTTGAAACCAAGAAAAGGAAAGGACAAGCACTTACAACGTTGCAAATCAACTGGTAAGAACAATTTCAGATTAGCATTACAATAATCAGATATAAATCATTACATATTTTATGTTGATGTTTTTTATAGCAAAAAATCATCCATCAATTACATGAAGGATACACCTTGTTAAGCAGAAAAAGCCTGGAATCCTAATGTCAAGATTGAATCAGTCAAAGACAACCCTCAACAAGAAGCAATGACGTATGTTAATTATTCTAACTAACAAATTTTATATCTTTGAAATCTTAGTATTTTCTAATTGTGTCAAAAATGATTTCTATAGAAATAACTATGGAATTATTGTTTGCTACATCATAGACAATACATGAGCATCAACCAATTCCAAACACATTACACCAGGCACATCCACAAGACTCAGAGCAGACATAGTACATGATTTCCTCAGTGATCCACAAAGATCAAATCAAAGTCAAGTAGAGTCAAGATTACAACCTTCAATGAAATCTTTTTTGATGTGTACTCAATGAACTCTTTTTGTAAACACTCTGATACAATGACTAATAGTTTTTTTAATAGTTCCAAGCATATTTACTACAAACATATTACAATTTCTATGATGTGTAATGGAATATTTTGTCACACTCTCAAAGATATATGCACCCGAGCTTTGTTGATGTTTTTGTCCATATTCTAAGTTTCTATTATCCTGTTCCTCACACTACTATATGGCAAAGTGAAAATAGTATTACATGTGAAAATAGTGGACACAAGACTTTACTGCATCACAATCAGTGCTTTGTTGATGTTTTTGTTTATATTTTCAGTTTTATGCAGTGTTTTGTTGCCTCACAAAACACTGCGGTGTGTTTGGTAACGTTTACATTTTCAATTTTATTTATAAAAATTTATAAACTGGTTTTTGTTTATTTTTAGAAAAACATAAACTGCAAACGCATTTGGTAATTGATAAAATGTTTAAAAAATTTTAAAATATAAAAAAGAGTGAGAAATGGCAAGTGGTGGCAAGTGGCGACGGAAGACAGTGGTGGAAAGTGGTGACGGTGGGTGGTGGGTAGCTGGTGGTGTGGGTGGTGGGTGGGCGGTGGTAGGTGACGTGCAGGTGGTATCGAGTGGGTGGTGGTGGTGGCAGGTGGTGGGTGGTGGTGGTGCCAGTGGTAGCGGGTGTTGTGGTGTAGGGGGCAGGGGCGAGTGGTGGTGGTGGCGGTGGGTGGTGGTGGGTAGTGAGTGGGTGTGTGATGGTGGTGGTGGTGGTGGTGGTGGTGGGGGGTGGTGGTGGTGGTGGTGGGTGGCGGATGGCGGGGTGGCAGGGTAGGTGTGTGGTAGTGGTGGTAGGTGGGTAGGTGACGGTGGCGGGTGGTAGGTGATAGCGGTGGTGGTGGTGGTAGTGGGTGGTGGGTGGTGTGGCGATGTGGCGTGGGTGGTGGGGATGGTGGCGGTGCGGAGTGGGTGGTGGCAGTGGGTGGGCGATGGTGGGGTGTGGTGATGGTGGCGTGGCGGGTGGTGGCAGGGTGGTGGTGTGATGGGTGGGCTAGTGGATGGCAGGTGTGGATGGTAGTGGCAGGTGGGTGGTGGTGCGGTGGCGGTGAGATGGTAGTGGCGGGTGGTGGGCGGGGGATGCAGGTGGGTGGTGGCGGCGGCAGCGAGGGTGGGTGGTGGTGGCGAGTGGGGTGGTAGGTTGGGTGGTAGTGGTGGTGTGGGTGGTAAGTAGTGGTGGTTAGGAGGTGGTGGCAGTGGTTTTGGT